GAGATTGAGATTGTTCACAGCTTTAGTTTGCTTGGCTCCACAGTCAACACTCTTGGCACCAGTAGCCAGGAAATTAAAAGATGTATTGCCATGGGAATGTCTGCTGTTAGGGACCTCTCTAAAGTACTGAAGAGCAATGGTGTCTCTCTGGAAACTAAGGTGCGTCTGATACAGGCCATGGTCTTTGCAATCACTTGTTATGCATCAGTGAATTGGACAATGACTAAGGAGGATGGAAGGAGAGTTGATGCCTTTGAGCTGTGGTGCTGGAGAAGAGTATTGAGGGTACCATGGACTGCAAGGAAAACAAACAGATTCATCCTGGAGAGGGTTAAACCAGGCTGCTCCTTGGAGTCAAGGATTCTGAAGCTTCGTCTGACATACATTGGACATGTTGCAAGGCAGGATCTGTCCTTGGAGAGGGACATCATGCTTGGGAGGGTGGAGGGACAGCACAGGAGAGGAAGACCCTCGATGAGATGGATTGATTCTGATTGATTCTGTCACTGGGGTAATGTGGATAGGTGTGTTGGAGACAATAAGGTTGGCAAGAGGCAGAGCAGAGTTTAGGGCTGTTGAACACAGGGTCACTATGAGTCGGAAGCGACTCAACGGCACATTACAACAACAACAACAACAACCGATAGAACAGGGTTACTTTTTTGGGAAATATTTGGCAACTGTGTAACATGGGTTAGAATTGTTCCTTCTGGTGGGTTTTTTCTGTCAAGATGTTAGAATTCTTCCTGGCTTCTTGAGGGGGATCCCACCTCCGACTCAGAAATCAACCCTCTGTAGCTCACTGTGCCTGATTCAGCAGAGCTGAAGTCAGAGCACTTTACTTATATTTTTTTCATCATTGACGTTGAGGCCAAGACAAATGGTGTGAGCACACTAGCCTGCATGCTGGAATAACACACAGTGCCCCCCCTTTCTTCATGCTGGAAATGAAATCAGGGAGCACAATGCTTGTAACTGACCTCAGAGTGAACTATTTTGTCAATACTTGTCCCGGGAGCTATGCACAGGCACCCACTCACCCTTTGAACATGATTGCAGTGAAACTTGTCAGGAGACTTTTTCTAATGATCATCAAAGTTGATTATTTATTAGCAGAGAATGAAAAATAAAACCAAAACTGGGGAGGGGGCAAAATTTAAAGGCAATTTGCAGATCACAATGTCCCCCCCGAGCTCTAGCTCTGCAGACTTGAGACAACCCAAGACAGTCTGTCACTTCATTTCAGGATTGTTCTTGAAGAGATACTCTGCCTAGGGTCAAAAGGGAAGGGTTGGGGAGAGGGAAGGGAAGAGGGTTGAAGAGAGAGGGGAGAAAGTCATCAATTTGGAAGGTACAGCCCAGTACCTATGGTGAGTCATGTCTGTGAGATTAGTGTTCAAACATTTAAAAATAAAGTGGCATATACCATTTACTTTCAAATGAAAAATAAGAATCTGCCACCCTCTGGGTGGGCTATGGAGAGGCTACGTCCCACGTAATCAGGCGCACACTCTAGCGTAACTGGTTCTCTTCCCATTCAGATATATTGTACTTTCAAATGGATGAACTTTTGAAAAACCCCAATCTTAAATCTCTCCTCTTTTTTTGTCAGCCTCGTGATGGTTTACAACATGAGTCTCTCTCCCCGGTCCCAAACCCCTCTGCCTCTCTTTCCTTCTTGACCTCCCCCAGGGGTCAGAGTCCCTGCACCAGCTGTAGTCTTACCAGAAAGTCCACAGGGTCCTGGGGCCTGACCTTGCAGCACTCGTTCAGGCCCTGCATCAGGGTGGGCATCACATAGGTCATTAAATAGTTCCTCAAGGGAATGGACTGAGCCTCCAGCAGCTCCCTCTCCTCCCGTTTCACTTCCTCTAGTCGTTTATTCTAAATGGAAGTTTCCAGAGAGAAGCCAGAATACAGTCAGAAAGAGGAGAATGCCTCCCACCTCAGGGGGTCTGTGAGTGCTGACATCACCCCTATAATTCTAAGAGAGAGGGGTTTCCAGCTACGGCAGGGCGCAGGGACATGCACACTTCCTCCACATTCATTCACACTTACATACATGATTACTCACCCACACCCACACCCACCTGAATATGCACACTCCTCCCCCCACACCCACCCACAAGGATATGCACTCACCGACACCTACTCATACTGACCCACATTTGCACACTCACATCCATACTCAGTCACACACACTCACATGTATTCACATCCTGTGGTGTCAGTAAATGAGTTTACAAATTTACTTTTTTATCCATGGCATTATTGCCTGTTGGAGACAGGGTCTTCAGCTACCTTAACTGTGGACACTTGGTCTTGCAAATCATCAACAGCTGTGCGCAAATATAAAGAGAGTGCTTTCACTCTGTGAAAAATGGTGGTGGGAAGGGTGATGCAGCGCGAGGGCGAGGCCGCCAGACGGGGGAACGCCACCGCCAGACGGGGGAACGCCGCTGCCAGACGGGGGAACTCCGTGAGAGGGACCCAGAAGAGACCCGGGAAGAACAAAAGCCAGCCACCTACCGCGGAACTCCAGAGGAGCGAAGACTGTGAGACCCCAGAGGAACGAAGACTACCAGACACTGTGGGACCCCCCTACAACCCACACCTGTGTGACCCTTAACACACAGGGTGCTGCTGCATAAACCCCCAGAAGCGCCCAAGCCCCGTCCCCACCTCCTGGTGATAGTGTCCAACCCCTGCACTCCTTGCCCCCTAGTCCCTTGCTTTCCTCCCCTTCCCCCACCCCCCTTGCAGCTCCACAACCACACATTTCAACCCCCACCACAGC